ATGATGAATGATAATGGCATTATATTAATATGATACATAAATAGAATGGACGTTACGGGTAGAGTCTATCTATCCATAGAGTCCATTCTATTTATTTAGGCAGGGCCGGGTTAACAGTCCTGGGTTAATCCGGCCCCGTATTTAGGTATAGATAGGGTATAGAATTTTTATCGATATATTTTGTCACACTGTCTTATCCCTATTATTAGTTCCGTGGACGTGCACTTCTACCGTCGGCGCCAAAATGGCGCAAATCAAATTGCCTCATTGTGTCACGGTGTACCAGTCAGGCGTACTTGTATATATAGAGATCAGTGTGAAATAGGCAATTTTCTGACATCATCTGGCAGTTTGTTGTGAATCAGTGATGCCATACAAAGAATACTTTTATTGAGTAGTGCTGTATCTCCATACGGTATTTCTATGTCAAATCTTTTTTTGTCACGTAATTGTCTATGGTAGCTTTTAAAAGCAGTCTTTTAAAAGTTTGGATTTGATATCACAAATAGATTTATTTCGTAGATATATATCGAAGGCAATGTCAGAATTTTTAAGTGTTTAAAGTATGGTTGACAGCTTGTAGTATTATCCCATTGAAGTAATATGTACTTACGTACAAGAACAGCTATTTCGAACAAAAAATGTGCCCTAATCTGTGTTCGCGCGGTTGGTTTTTTTTATCATAGAATAAACATAGGTAGAATGACCCGTAGGTAATAGTAAATTGTATTGTATATAAATTATATCGAGAATAATATTTAAATTTTGTTATTTATTTTGTATATTATATTTGCTTATTTAATATAATATCACATAATATTTAATATAATATCACATAATATATATCACAATTACATTTTTATCTGAGTATTTTAAAAGGTATCTATGTCAAATATAAAAAACATACTAAATGTATGTTTAACAAAACGTATTAACGTAACATTTAAATTACAAATATATTTATTTAAATTAGAATAAGAGTCGTTCATAAATTCTGGGTACGCGAGAGTTAAAAATGGACGAATTTATTCCACTTTGACTTTGATGTGGAAACCTAAAAATAAAATAAAAGAATTATAAGCAGATTTATATACGAAAAATTTAGCCTAATTATAATAACTTATATATGTTTCTACAAAAAAATGTGTATAATACTATATTCATTTAGTACCCACAGAAATGTCGCATCTGAACAATTAATTTCATAATCTATATTCCATGACCCGAGATGGCGTCTTAGGAATAATTTGTTTTATTGTTAATCTATAATACTTTTTTTATTGATTAAGTATCTTATTAACCGATGAAAAGTAATTCCTTGGTTTTTACTGACATTTCTTGAATTATTTGTGCAATATCTAAGTACACACGACGGCATATTTTTATCAAGAGATTTTTTTTTAAATCAACACAAGTGACAACTCTACGAGCGCCTAGCGAGTGACCATAGATAACTGTGTATATACTAGAGACGAGTGACTGATTAAAGTGCGGTGTATGCACCGCAGTTGAGTGGAACAGAGTAGCTGAATGCAGTGTCGCCTCTGTCTAGTACGTAGTACATAATAGCTCAATGTATTATCCAGATTGCACATTGCTCTGATGCATTTCTTTTGAGCTTTGAATGTAGATACTTTACATGCCGAGTTGCCCCAAAATATTACATCATATCTTAGGAGTTGCAACAAGTCCGTGATAGGCTATTAAAACGGTTTCTTTATTGACAATCTTGGAGAGTTTGTAAAGAGCAAACGAGGATTGATTAACTTTTTTGCAGACATTATCTAGATGTGTTTTTCATGATAGCTCATAGTTAATATTAATTCCTAAAAATTTTGTATTTGTCACTGGATGTACTGTACTGCCTTGGCAACTAACATTTATAGTTTTGGGTTGTGTTCTTTGATACAAGTGCATTATTTTTGTTTTGTCCATATTTAATATTTTAAGATTGTTTTTAGGAACCATTGAATTATTGTATTTAATATTTTATTGACTTCATGTTCGTAATTGTCTTGTCTATCATATTTTATCATTACTGTGCAAAAAAAATGATGTTCATCTGCAAAATGTACCATTGGATGTTCGATATGTCTAGGGAGATCATTATAGTGTATAACACCAAAAACAGTAAGGGACCTAGGACATAGGTACTCCGAATTTTATGTTACTAGTGTTAGATCTATATTTGATTTAATTTCGTTTTTTCTGGCATATTTGTGTAATTTCTGTTATTTGTTTGCTATTGAACATATATGAAGAAATGAGGTCTAGCGCATTATTAGCGCTTTCGGCTGCAGCCTTGAGAGTCTCCTCAGATCCTCCCTCCAGCTACCACCCGCATGAGGTCGACATACATGTTCCACCAACCAATACAACGGCAGATATAGCCAGTTACAAGGCAGTTATAAGATAATAGTAATAATTTACCATCAGAAAGGGTTTGTGTCACTGACGTATATGCATTTTCAATCATGTTTGTCTCAACCACATCATAGAGACCTTCTATAATAATACTTTTGTATTAAACAACTTACTATTATATGTCCTTAATATATGGGACCTCAACCCTCAACTCTACTATTGTAATGCTTAAGCGTCATAGAGACCTATATTAATGCTTTAGTATAATAAGACCTTACTATCATAAGTCCCTAATATGGGAGTGTACATTGTGCAACAGTACTAGTCGTCGGTCAATCGACCACCCCATATATATATGTATACCCTTGGGTATACGTCTGCGGCAACTCCATGGGGGAACAAGCATCTATACAAGAACACCCTCCATAACTTAAGAAATTATCTTAAACACGAACACGCTCAATGACTTGGCAATTTTTGACCAATTTCCCAATTATTTTATAAATGTTATTTATCTTTATTATTATAATATTTTCGAATTGTATTTCTATTATTAATACATTTTGAATATTTTAACAAAGTTTTTAATAAATTTATTAATTTTGAAAGGCAATATTAAGAATTTCATTTATTATAATATTTAATGTCTGAAAAGTATTTATTTTTACTTACTTTATGCTTATGAATGTATTTCTATTGTTTAATATATTTTTTCTAAATTGATTTTGACGGCTTTATATAGAAATTAATTATTAATTATTTATAATAATAATGGGCCGTCACAATATTAAAGATATGTTGCAAACTGGTAACATTCATTGCTATACAGACGGCAGTACTGGTAATGCCTTATACACCGGCCGTGCCAATATTTCTCGAGAAAACGTTGCCGACTACCGGGACAAACTTGTGTCTGAAGTAGAGTTTTTGCTGAACAAAGTCTCGGATTGGGGGCGACTAAATATAGTCCCCTCAGAAAAAACCCCTTTGTCGTATCTCCTCAGTTTCAAGGCACTCTCCTTGCTGCCTTAGCTAACATCGGAATCCTCGGTGTCGACATATCGAGTGACATGCAGTTTCATGGTCACTTGGAAGAAAAGGCCAAATTGCCCTCTAAAAAGCTTAGCGTGCTCAGCAGAGCGAGACAATATTTCATGCCGGCACATCGTTTGCTACTTTACAAAGCGTAAGTTCGACCTCACATGGAATACTGTTCTCATCTCTGGGCCGGGGCACCCCAGTACCAGCTCCTTCTACTTTACCGCATCCAGCGCAGAGAATTTTGAATCGTCGACGACCGAGTTCTTTCTGATCAGCTTGATTCACTAGCGCTGTAGGGATGTTGCATCCCTTTGCATTTTCTATCGCATCTACCATGTGGATTTCTCTGAGGAATTGTTTAGATTGACTACAGCCGCCAAATTTCACGAACGCATATCGTGTCAAAATTTACGATACCATCCTCACCATCTGGATGCTTGGCGGTCCACTACTGTGCGTTTTACTAGGAGTTTTCTTCCTTGTACAACTTCTCTGTGGTATTGTTTACCACCGGCGATTTGTCCGGACCCATATGACTTAGGGGGACCTTGAATAAAAGAGCTTACTCATTACTAAAAGGCCGGCAACGCACCTGAAATTCCCCTAGTGTTGCGGTTGTTCATGGGTGGCGATAGTCACTTACCATCAGGTGAGTCGCATGCTCGTTTGACCCTTCTGTTAAAAAAAAACTGAAAAAACTGACAAAAGATGGGCATAAGAGGAGCATGACGTATGGCATGACGAGTATTGTGGACACACTACGTCTCTACCTCCTTTTCTCGCTCTTCCCATGCTACTCGACGAGTGTGCGGCCGGGGGTTAGAATCCTCTAGTTAGGCTAGAAGTTTCATAATTTACTGATTTACTCGTATATTAAAGTAGGCGTATCTAGTTCCTAATTTGTTTTCTCGTAAACCACTTTCTAACTTACCGGTTCCGGTGGACCCGCTGCTACTACATTTCTATCATATTTCCAAAAATTGTCAAATAATGTGAAGATTTGATCTAAAGATGAAAATTTGACTGAGTTCTAACCCTAAAAAGTGGTTGGTCTAAATGAAGGTAAGTATTCTCTTGGAATAATGCTAAGATATTCGTTATCCTTTAATAATAAATTAAACATTTCATGTTTGAATTTAATATGGTGACACCACATTACTTTGAGATTAATCATGTGGTAGAGCGATGCTGTGATTCTATATTATAATACTAGCATGAATGGGGTGGCTAAACTGGGAAAGGACCACGCCCTCACAGAATACTTGCGTGTAATAAATAGCATCTTAATCTGTTGTTCAAAGTTTGAGTGGAGAGAATCTGAAACCCTTTTTACTGGAAACGAGGCATTCCATCCAAATCCTTAGATGTTACTACCCATTCGCATTTTCATCCCTAATAGAGGATAAATGTAGATGCTTTTGGGCAACAGGTGTGTGTTTTATTTTTAAAAACATACTAATTTTTAAAGTCCATGGTTACAACGAAAACTTGAAATAATTTTATGTTAAATTATTTAATCAACCATCAATTTAAACAATTATGTGCAATATTTTAAAACACCATTAAAGATAGAGAACTTCGAAATGATTGCGCGATTAAACGCGACGGCGGGGCGTATATTGTAGCGGTGAAATACTAAGATATGCCTCTACATTTTCTTCTTGTCCCTTTTTCTGTTGCATATCTTTTAGAGTTTTCTTTCCTTGAGATGAGGTTGATCGCATGGAACACACTGAAACAATCGTTTATTTGAAATTACACTTTTTATGCATCTTTTCCAATAGCCCGTGGATGGACTGGAGCCTGATTGAAGCAAGCTGGATTAACATAATCTATACACCAGGTAAGCATATTGGCACTAACAACTTCCGAATACTAATGGCAGGCACACGAATTAGCAGTTGCTCTGAGGTAACGAAGTGAAAACGAAGCGTTTCCATTGCAACCACAGAAATCTAAATAATAAGGCAATAGAAGTCGTAAAAGCGCTTGACCTTTTCGCCACACATGTGACTCGTAGGCCAGAAGTGCGCGAGGAGCGTTTGTTTCGGTCACCAGTATTGTTTTGGATGCAGAGACGTAAGAAAGATGTTTTGCAGTATATCCGACTGCGGAAATTCTTCCACAACTTGTAAATTTTCAAATAAAGGGATAACATTAACTTAGTGTTTTAAATAATGTTGTTTTTAATGAAGTATACTTAAATAAAATTATTCACCTCCAGTACTACGATTTTCTCCGAAAATGTAATTGTTTTCACATTTCAATATCCATTGATTCTTAAACTAGTTCATGTTTACGAGTACGACAGCTAAAAGCAGCGATGGATTTATAGTATGGGCAATAAACAGTATTGTCGCGTACCTAAATTTCCAAGAACACGGCCCCAGGAGTCGAGCGCGAGTCAGTGACGTGACACTATTATTTTGTATCGATAATTTATTATGTTTCGCTTACCTAGTTTTAGCGAAATGGGAATGAAATGTGATTTTTCAGTAAATATTTATTTACACCTTCTCTAACAGTTTTCTTTCTAATTATTTTATACCGTTAATTGTTTGTCAACGATTATCTGTTTGCTTGTACTTTTAAATTACTTGATAAATTTCAGTTTTAATATATTGTAAGTATAAATCATTATATTGTAAGGATAGTAGACTAAAATTCGATCTGTAAGAAGTGGGTTAACTGAAAAATAAAAAAACAACAGAAAGTCAGTAACAAGTCTTTAAAACTGTACATATATTTATTTGTTTGCTGTTTGTGTAATGTTGTATTCATGTTATTTATATATCTGTTTATTTTATATAATGCTATTATTCCAGGTTTCCAGGTTTATATTTATCCTTAACGTTTTATTATATTTCCTTTTCTCTAATTATAAAACGTCTAAAAACTAAAATAAAAAAATAAAATCTCTTAATTCGGACAAACATCCATAATTGAATGTCACCCCTTCGCGCCCCAGTGTCTCGAAGCACGACTTTTTCAGTTGTAAAAATTTCATCCTTCATAAATTTGCTATCAACCTCTTATATTACATACAAAACGTGAGAAATTAATAAAAAAACTAAACATGAACAAAAAAATTTATAAATGATAAAACATGTAGTACATATTCGCTGTAGTCGCTGATAATGTACTTCAGGGTATGGAACTTTTTGGTTGGTTTGGTCGCTCCTGTAAAATAGCATCATGCTATAAGCAGGAGTGCTACCAAGCCTGGGCTAACGCATCAACGCCCTAGGATGTAAACACCAGCGCTCTGAAAAAGAAGTATAATTCCGCCTCCAGGTCTTTCAAAAGAGTCATTGCCAAGGCGAAGTCAGAGCACATAGGCAGAATTGGCGAGAAACCAGTTCACCTTCCTTCTGGAATCCGTGCATTCTGGTCTCTCGCCAAGGTTGTCCAGGGGAATTTCTGTCAGCCATCTCTTCCGTCTCTGCATAGGGAGGACGACTCACTGGCCTATGCCGCAAAGTAGAAAGCCGAAATCTGCTAGGCTCTTTCTTTACGTCCAACTCGACTCTCGATGACGGGGGAGTACGCCGCCGACCATCACGCGGTGTGAGTGATCTATGCCGGAGGTGCGGTTAACACAGCGCTCGGTTCACAAAGCACTCATCTCGTTGGATATCCACAAGTCAAGTGGGCCTGACGGTATCCTCCCGATTGTGCTGAGGACGCGTGCTCCAGAGTTGGCACCGGTCTTAACGCGTCTTTTCCAGTACTCTTACTCTCTAGGCGTAGTTCCAAAATCATGGAAGATGGCTTTCGTCCATTCGATCCCTAAAAAAGGCGATCGCTCAGACCCGTCCAGCTACAGGCCCGTCGCAATCACTTCCTTGTTCTCCAAAACAATGGAATCCATAGTAAACTGCCAGCTCATGAGGTACCTTGAGAATCACCAGCAGATTAGTAATCGCCAATATGGTTTCCGTCGTGGTTCGATCAGCTGGTGATCTTCTGGTCTAGCTGACTCATAGATGGGCGGCGGCAGTAGAGTCCAAGGGGAAGCATTGGCCGTTAGTTTGGACATTGCGAAGGCCTTCGACCGGATTTGGCACGAAGCGCTTCTTTCGAAACTCCCTTCCTATGGGCTTCCCGAGAAAGTGTGCAATTGAATAACCAGCTTTCTTGCAGATCGGAGCATCAAGGTAGTTGTAGAAGGTGCAAGCTCCGATTACGAGCCTATTAATGCTGGTGTTCCACAACGCTGCGTGCTATCACCAACGCTGTTTCTTCTGCATATGATATGTTGCAAACCTATAACATTCATTGCTATGCTGGTGATGCTCTGTACACCGGCCGTGCCAAAATTTCTCGGGAAAACGTCTCCGAGTACCGGGACAAACTTGTGTCTGAAGTCGAGTCTTTGCTGAACAAAGTCTCGGATTGGGGGCGACTAAATCTACTCCAGTTTAACCCTCAGAAAACACAAGTGTGTGCGTTAACCGCTAAAAAGAACCCCTTTGTCGTATCTTCTTTTTTTTTTTTCAGTTTCAAGGCTCTCCCCTTGTTGCCTCAGCCAGTATCGGAATCCTCGGCGTCGACATATCGAGTGACGTGCAGTTTCGTGGTCACTTGGAAGAGAAGGCCAAATTGGCCTCTAAAAAGCTTGGCTTGCTCAGCAGAGCGGGACAGTATTTCATGCCGGCACACCGCCTGCAATTGTACAAGGCGCAGGTTCGGCCGCACATGGAATACTGTTCCCATCTCTGGTCTGGGGCTCCCCAGTACCACCTCCTTCCACTTGACAGCATCCGGCGCAGAGCGGCTCAAATCGTCGACGACCGAGTGGTTTCCGATCGGCTTGATTCACTGGCGCTGCGAAGAGATATTGCATCTCTTTGCGTATTTTATCGCATCTATAACGGTAAATGCTCTGAGAAATTGTTCGGATTAATCCCAGCCACCAAATTTCATGAACGCACTATGCGGCAAACCTCCCGATACCATCTACACCATCTGAATGCTTGGCGGTCCACCACTGTACGTTCGACTAGGAGTTTTCTTTCGCGTACGACCTCTCTGTGGAATAATTTACCACCGGCGATTTTTCCGGACCTATACGACCTGGGGACCTTCAAGAAAAGAGCTCACTCCTTTCTAATGGGCCGGCAACGCACCTGCAATTCCCTTGTTGTTGCGGTTGTTCATGGGCTGCGGTAGTCACTTAACATCAGGTGAACCGTATGCTCGTTTGCCCCTTCTTCTATTAAAAAAAAAAGTATATTTGGTGGCAGATTGCGCGGAAACTATAAGTGATATCGGTTTTGTATAATCTATGAGGTTGTTAGATATTTCATCAAGGATCATTTTTTACACTTTCATTTGGATTGGATTTTCTACACTTTTTTTGTGTATCGTATACGGTTTCTTTAAAACTGGAAAAAAACCGCGCTTCTGGGACGCTGGGGAAGGGGCGTGACGCTCACTCGGGAGGTGAAGGAAGAGTGGACAAAATTTAACTTCAAAAAAGTAGGTAGTCTATTATTTTTGCCAATTTTCCCATACATTGGTATTTAAAATACTTGATCTAGGGTTCATGTTACGTCGCGCAGTTCAGACGCGTGATATACGTGGGTAAAACCGCGGGGTACACCTACGTATATAATAAAATAAAAAAATGCGTGAAAATTATTCCATTTTTGTGTTTTATTATAATTATTAATCGATAACATATGTGAATTTGAATCTGAAGGCCCTAATTTTCCAAAAAGACATAACTACACGTCTACGCGATCGCTTATTATCTGAATTCTGAACTTAGCAGTATTCAGTGATTATGGGGTTCCACCCAATAAGACCAAGACAGCTCCTTAAATGCAGTTGCAATTAAAATTTTAAACAAACATTTAACATTTAATATTATATCAATGAGCTTTATCGGAATTGTGGGGTATCTTAGCATATCAGATATAGGTACTTACGCGTCATAATCAATCAGTTTGTATTATGTATAATAACATTACCTGTCTTACGATCGCTGCCTCTGCTTCTGACGCTTCTTCTCCCGGTGTCCAGCACACTGAACCCCGAGGCTTTGGACTTTGCTGAAGAGCATTCGCTGTCGATCCCCAAAGCGTCGAGTGCCCGCATGCGCTCAGCTATCTGGTCTTGTATCATATCCCGGTGTGCATCTGCTTCTCCAAGCATTTCCATCTCAGCCAACCAGTCGGCACGTTCGCGAATTTGTGTAACCACTAAGGAAAATACAGTGTATGAATAAGGGTTTTTATTTTCTTTGTCGTAATCAGCGTGCAAACCAAACAATACAAAATTTTCATGTTCAATGTATGGGTTTAAGCCAAATTACTAAAACTGGGCCTCCTCTATAGCACAGAGAATTCGCCGTAATAGGCGTATGTTTAAGAGGCATATTGTGTGTGTTTATCGTAGTATCAGACGACAATATCTGGCTTAGTAGGGTGCAGTGTGGTCGTTGGTCATAAAATCCATCCGATTGCGTACCACGCGGATATAAGATGCAAATATGAATAATGTCAGAAAAATCTATCAGATTCCGTCCTCTCAGCTTTCGTTTGAATCTCGTTTTGAGTAACATTAAATAACTGGACGGATGACGGGCAACAGCGTTAAATATGCGGGATTCCTGGTCCTGCGATCGTCAAATCACCTGCCAAGCATGTCCTCCCAATAACGAGGAGGACTATATGAAACATGAGAACAACTTTGTTCTGGGTATAGGTTGGCTACAATGAGTTGAGACAGACATTTGTTAACAAAGACCTACTTGTAGCATTTGCCTTATATATTTTTAAAATGCTTAGAGGAAAAATATATAATTGTAATTTAATGCGGCGGATTGGACTGTATGTTCCAGACTAGTACGTATAGGAACGACCAACCAATTTAGTTAGACAAGGCGTCTTTAACGCGAACTTTATGCATTCTAAATATAATAGCTGAAGACATTGAACAACCGCATGGAAAAAGGCTTTTTTAAAACCCCTTCCCAAAATACCTAATCCTGAATTCCCTAACCATTTTCGTCCTATTTCAATTCTCCCATACCTCTCTAAAGTTCTGGAAGCCTGTAGTTTTAAGCAAATCTCTGTAATCACTGCAGAACACTACCTGATGAATGAATTTCAATCGGAGTTTCGTACTGGTCACAGCACTACCACTTCGCTTATCAAAGTCACAGACGATATAAGAAAAGGCTTGAATGAGCAGAAATTAACAGTGGTAGTGCTTATTGACTTTCCAAACGCTTTGAACACAGTAGATCATGATATCCTCCTATCTATCCTTAAACATCTTAAATTTTCATCCCCAGCCTTGGAATGGTTCTGTTCTTATTTTTGCGGTCGCCAGCAATCGGTTCGCTCAGGTCAGCGGTTTTCTTCACGGGCTGAAATTGAATCTGGTGTACTACAAGGCGGAATACTTTCTCCGATTATGTTTCCCTTATTTATAAATTCTATCTCCTCAGTTTTAGATTGGTCGTACTGTTTGAGGTTCGTGACAATAAAAACTGCCGATTGAATTACCAAAATTTACACTTTTATTACCGAACACCAATTAAAACTTAAAACACTAATAATAATTCACACTAATTCACTTTACTTGGCTCTGAAGCTTCGCTTGTCCGCCAAATTCAATACTGCCCCGATCGCGGCATGCAGCGGCTTTTAAATACACTTTTTACACTGAAACATCCAGAATATTCCAGTACATACGGGCGCTAACCTACCGGATACAGAAAGGTCGAGTGTGGGGCTTCTAGAAAGCTTAATTCTCCTGTTCGATACTATATGGCGCTGTTGGTCGAAAGTTAAGATTGACATTTTCTAGGAAGCCCTCCTCGCTCTGGTCCCCGACACTAGATGGCGCTAGTGCCAGGTACATGACGTCAACTTAGGCGCGCAACACTGCCCCCTCCTAAGACATGCTCGACCCGAGCATTATCGGCCCCGTAATAACGCGCCAGTCGATCCACATGGACGATCTTAGGAGTACCTCTTGCACCTTTTCGAAACGGCTCCGTAACGTCAAGGGCTGTCCCCTCCCATGGTGCACCAACATTGTACAATTTCGATGCTCCTCTACTACGAGTCTGAGGTCCATTCACAGCCGCACAACTTGTACATGTGCGACACCAATCCTCGACATCGTCACGATAATGGACCCAGTAAAACTGTTATCGGATCTTCAGTAGAGTTCGTTTAACTCCCAGATGTGCTCCTGAACAACCATTGTACCATAATGGTAAGCTGTAGAACATCCGGCAATTTAGATTTAGGGACAACCATTTGCAAACGACACCTGTCTCCTCTACCATTTTCCCATTTACGGCACAGGACTCCATCCTGAATCAGCAAGCTGACCCATTGGGCCCAATAGCTTTTAGTGGTCGAACTCATCGCTGAGACGTCGCTCCACTTGGGCTTGGTAGCACGGGCGCTCATCCATTCCAGAATCGGCTTGATATCCGGATCTTCCTGCTGTGCATGTTGTAAGCTGTCCTTCCACTCGTTGCTGAGGTGGTCTGTCCTGAGCATCCTCACGGCTACCACTTCCTTACTCTCTTGCCTAGTACAATGTTTGCAGTCTTCAGGACAAGGTCTTCTTGACAATGCATCTGTGTTGCCTCGCCATTTCCCGCTACAGTGTCTGATAGTAAAGTCGTATTCCTGCTGCTGTTGGGCTGTGCCGTTAGCTGCACTTCCCTTCCGAGATCGTTTACCTTCCCTTTTTAGGGTTCGCTTAGGGCAGCTGGATCGAAGATGGCCCCTTTCCCCACAGCCATAGCACCTAGGGCTATATCTTTTATTGTGGTCGCGAACCGTAACTGCTGCAACCTCCCTGATGCGATGGGAACGAAGATCCTGCCGCACGGCTTCCACTTCCAGTGCATTGGCCAAGGCGTTATTAAGCGTCTCGTGGTGCCCGAGCCTCACAGCAGCTCTGAATTCAAGGTCGCGGATGCCGTCGATGAATGTCTGCACCAGGTTCCCTTCAATGAGCGCAGGTACAGACTAATATGCTTTTCGAACTATCTTCTCCACCTCAAGGGCCCACTACTGCAGGTTTTCGTTGCTGCGTTGCACGCGATCTTCTAAGCTGCGCGCGAAAGACGTGTTCCAGGTGAGCGTCAACATATCTCGCCTCCAACGCCTCAAGGAGCTGCTCGTAGTTCACTTTCTTACCGAGAGCTTCCAACACAGTTAAGGCTTGGTCGCGCAGGCCAAGGGTGAGTGCAGTCATGGCCTGGCTTTTATTCCAGCCGTTCGACTCCATGACGGCCTCGAACTGGATTTTGTAAGACCAGGAAGAAGTCCCGTCGAACGGCGGCACTTTGAACCCACATAGCGAAGGTGTAGTAGCTACTACGGGAGCTGTATTTCCATCCCCAAGTTTGAGTTCGTCCAGTGATTTCTTCATGTCAGCCATTACATTGTCAACCCGGTTGTTTACTTGGTCGATTCGGGTTTCAGCTTCCGACAGGCGGTTGTCATGTTGAGCAACCTTATCCTTCACCTCCCGTATCTCTTTTCCGAAGCGTGGATGTCCTTCATGAGGAGCATCTGCTCTTCCTTATCGCGTTTGAGCTGCTCTTCCAAACGACGGGCCTATTCCTCCTGTCGGCGGACCTGTTCCTCCTGCTGCTCTTTCAACTGACGGGCCTGTTCCTCTCGTCCACGCTGCAGCTGCTCTTCCAACCGACGGGCCTGCTCCTGCAGCATCATCATCAGAGTCCCTAAGTCAGGTGCCGGCGGGCCGGCCTCCGTGGCCGGCGACGAGCTTGAGGTTCGTGACAATAAAAACTGCCGATTGAATTACCAAAATTTACACTTTTATTACCGAACACCAATTAAAACTTAAAAAACACTAATAATTAATCACACTGATTCACTTTATTTCGCTCCGAAGCTTCGCTTGTCTCGCCAAACTCAATACTGCCCCGATCGCGGCATGCAGCGGCTTTAAATATACTTTTTACACTGAAACATCCAGAATATTCCAGTAGATACGGGCGCTAACCTACCGGATACAGAAAATTCGAGTTCTGTTCGATACTAGATGGCGCTGTTGGTCGAAAGTTAAGATTGACATTTTCTAGGAAGCCCTCCTCGCTCTGGTCCCCGACGCTAGATGGCGCTAGTGCCAGATACCTGACGTCAACTTAGGCGCGCAACAGTACCATCTGTATGCGGATGATCTTCAGCTCAATGTGCAGTCACGCTTAAATAATCTTTACTTTGAAATAGACGTTTATATCTACCTATGTGATTTATTCGAAACCTTTGTAAACATGAATTCTAAACGCCTATAATATAATGAGAATATCACAAGCTAGAACTATACTTCCAGCCTTCTGTTAATATGCTTGTAATATTTTACCTTTAACTTTTTACTTGTATCGAGAAATTCTATTGAAGTGTGACAACGCATCTGCGTTTGCGTTCTGCGTCATCTGCGTAGTGACAAAGCATCTGCGTTTTGATTCTTAATCAAAGATAAATGCCACGGCATTCACTTACTATCAGGTGGACTGTGTTTATCACACTTATTTTTATAAAAACTGGAAATAGTTCTACTCTTCGTGCGTGCTTGTAAGTCCTCTTACAAATCATTTTGCTTTGTCAATAATAATACGATCTCATTTCTTTTTCATGTTGTTATTCAAAGGAATGAATTGAATGGAACTTCCACTTACGATCATGCCACATCTCTTTGTTTGTGGGCAGCTTAGGCGGCTGTTTTACCAAGCGAGGCATTGTTGACGGCTGCAGACCCTGTTCCCCGTAAGCCATGACGCTTGCAAGTCTTTCCTTTAGCTTTTCGCGGTCTTCGCCACGCTTTAACGGTTTATATCTACAAAAAGGGTAAGCATGGGCTAATATTTGGGGAGAGTGATTTAAAGACCTACTGAAATAAGCATATAACTCTTTGGAATAATTGGCTTGCATCTAAATGTGAATGTCTTTTGTGTTTTACCATTTTTGACTCACCACTTACTATCAGGTAGTAGACAGTAGTCTAGCACTGGTTTATAATAGTTAAAAAATTTATCCGATTATGAAATAGCTAATTCTAAGCAAATATAGAAGGACATTATATCGATTTTTTTCATATTAAATTAATTCATGTCCATGATCGTTTGGTATCATAAATTTTAAAGCACACTTTACCAACACGGAATTTTAATGGTAATGGCAAAGTAGATACATAATTACCAGAACCACTGTCGCCAAACCCACGCATTTAGCACGAAAGGAATATGAGCCCAACCAAAATAGTACCTACATTTCCATAATTTTCGAGAGATTGGCTTTGAAGAAATAATAGAAAGGCTTTATGTTACTCGCCATCAGCTTGAGTTAGAATCATAAGATCTAATAAATGGAAGTCATATTTCTAAACCGAGCAACTAAGGTAACCTAGGCAATTAACGCCCACCTAACTTAAAACGAAATTTATGATGTTATTAATTAGCGAAATTAAATATACTGTATATTAAAGGTATCACAATATATTACCGAATTGTAAAATGCAAATTTTGATCCACTATTAATTACAGTTCCACATCAGTACAACTTTTTAAAAAAACCCTTTTTTGGGCGTTATTAAAAATACATAGTTTATTAACGCCCGTTTGAGTTAAGGAACGAATAATGCAGTTATAGGCACTATATAATTGAAAACCACACATAATCCGGATGTTATTTTTTATTTTTTCTGATAAGAATACAAAATTTAGGAAAAAAATCAACAATAAACATAAAAAATAGTAAACTTCGCAGCACATGTAACATTACTTGTAACTTCTTTTTAATCATCATTACTAAAACAATTTCGATACTACATTTAAATTTGTAATAATTACTAGCATAATAGCTTTAAATAAGTTTAAAAAAGAAACATATTTTTTTTTTTTGGTTTAGTGGGCGTTATTATGCGATGGTGGATTGGTGCGCCCTGTATTGTATTAGGTAATATCCGCCCCAGAGCTAGCATTCTTAATGAGAGTTGCTTCGCAAACTAATATTTTGATAATTAAAATGAGATCAGGTAATTAGTACAATTACTTACAAAATGGAAAACAACTGTCAATTGCAAATAAACCATTTTCTAAACTATAGTATGATACAATATCAATCAGTCTTTGAATATGAAACCAATCATAATGATTTCTTATATTTACGCGAACACTATACATTGATTAAAACTACTTTTACTGATTTTATCGCGTTTTATTTATATTAATTTTAATACCCGAGGTTTTGGGTGCTTTCCAGCACCCATGGTCATGGGGGACTGAGGTGACTGAGTCACCTCAAATTAATATAAAGAAAACGCGATAAAATCCGTAAAAGTAGTTTTAATCAATGAAACCAATCAGTTAACTTGCTTTATCTTAAAGTCATTAAATAGTATAAACCAGATTAACACTCGGAACAAATAAATTCTTTATCACATTTTGATAGTCCCACACACTCTTCGTGGTACCATCTCTTACAAATTCCACATTGACGCATGTCTAACCTCTTGTTTTCAAAACATGCATAGCAGTACCACTCTTCGGTATCATCTTTTACTTCATTTATTTGCTTCTTTTTTCTCTGTTGTTTTTTTGTTATATCTTTACACTTTAAAACTTTTTTCTCAGTGTTTACTTCTTTGGTGTTAGGATTTTTCTAATCTAATGTATTCTTCTTCTGTTGTTTATTAGTTTTGGCATTAACCTTGCTATTTATTTTGTTTATTTTTTGTTGTTTCTCACTTTTATCTGAAAATAAATCCTTAATTATTCTATGTCTTTTATAATTCATCGCTTTCTTACGCTGTCTTTTTGTTTTAACTTGTGTATAATTGGGAGTTGGCAAAAAAATTTGGAATGGTGTCTTATTACTTTGTTTGTTTAAATTAATATTATATTCTCCATCGCACTAAAGTTTTCATTATTTGTTTTGTACATTTCATGTGAGGAACTAATAATAAGTTTCTTAGGTGTGATTTGCCCTTTAGGGATAAAATAGTCAGTATTTTCATCATCTTCGGCTGACGAGTAACTATATATGTCTACAGCAGCGCATTTTTTAAAGAGAGACGTATGAACTAAAGCATCTAAATAAAAAACTGTGGAGTTAGAACTAGAGCTTGGACGAATAGGTTTATGTAATCCAGAACAACTTGGAACTCCTAAATCTATTTTGTAAGTGTCCTTATTGCTTAGAAGTGGTTCGTCATTGGCACTTACCAAAAAAACGTCATTTTCTGAAATCAAAGAAGGTGAAGCACAGTGTTCTTCCACCTGTGTTGCTGGCCTATGAGGATATTCTACTATTTCGAAGTCAGAAACATCGGGAGATGAGCTATAGTCAACGAAACGGCATTTAACTATTGAAGAATTTTCAGTTGTTGAAGGTACGGTACCAAATCGGTTTCGGTCGGTTTATTAAGATCAGGGTATTTATCTATCTCTAATACATCAGATGTAGAGTTCTGCAGGAGCCAATCACATATCGGTAGATCAGTGTCATCGTTCAATACGACGTCAGATAAAGAACTTTGTATGGGCTCCACGCTAGTTTGTGGCCATGCAATTTCTGACAAAACTGATGGGGCATATGCTGCCTCCGGTATAGCTTCAGGATTAAAAGGGAATAATCCTGTTGCTGCAAATCCATTCACAATGTTGCTTTGCGTCATGCATTTGGGCCAGACTTGACTAAATATCTTATTAAAAGTGGCTATAAAAGTATAAGAAGTTCAGAAATGCTTAACTAAGTCGTCATCAGTGTCATCGTTCAATATGACGTCAGATAAAGAACATTGTATGGGCTCCACGCTAGTTTGTGGCCATGCAATTTCAGACAAAACTGATGGGACATATGCTTCCTCCGGTATAGCTTCAGGATTAAACGGGAATAATCCTGTTGCTGCAAATCCATTCACAATGTTGCTTTGCGTCATGCATTTGGGCCAGACTTGACTAAATATCTTATTAAAAGTGGCTTTTGACATTGTTCTGTCGGGGTGTGTGTATAAGAAGTTCAGAAATGCTTCATCCCAGTGGTGTTCATACCGACTTATTGACTGATTTGTCTAAGGGCTGAAGCTCATGCGTTTTGTTGGAAGGGAGGCAATACAAAACTATATCGTTTTTATCAGCTTCATCTAAAACTTCTATTGACAAGTGACATTTGGCACCATCAAATATAAGTAAACATTTTCCAGCAACCTTATATTTCGCTAAGTGCTTAATAAACTCCACAAACAAATCAGCAGTCATATTGCCTTTCGGTGCCATCCTGACTAACGTTCCTGGTGGTAAGTTATCACATAGATCAGGTCTCTGTCTTTTTCCTTTAAAGAGGTTCATAGGTGGTATCGCAGTACCAATGGCATTCACGCACATTGCTATCGTAACATTTTCCGCGTGTTCAGGGGCAATGAGATGAACTCTTTTGCTTCCTTTCTCTGCTAGGACTGTGTGCTGCTTGTGTACAGTTATCCGGCATCACTTTTCATCCATATTGTACAATTTTTGCACATTCTGAAAATGTTGCTGAACAATTGTTTTGTTTAATTTTTGTGCTCGAGCTGGATTCATTATTTGCGGCTTTCGTTTGCTAATTGAGGGATTCCGCTTTAAAAAAAGTATCTCAACCAATCAGTGTCAGCAATTCTTTTGGAATTATTGAAATTATTTTTTATTTCGTATGTTTCACAAAACATATATGCTTGTTTTCTTATAAATTTTGGCGTGAGGGGTACACCCATTTTAGCGAATCTTTTATTCGTTCAACGAGGTCATTTTCTTGATGTTCTGTAAAAATTGGTTTTCTTCCCAAACGTTTAACGATTGTGCCCGTTTTTAAATGATCCCTCAATGTTCGCGGAATATTATGCCTGGAAGCTGCAGCACGCTAAGACAATTGGCCTCTTTGAACAGCATTCATTGCTGCTTTTAAGCCTTCTTCAGTCCACAATTGTCCTCTTTTTTCACCCCTGGACCTGGTCGGAGCCATTTTACTAACCTGCGTACGTAATAATTAACATAAATAATAAACGTTTTCCCAAATTATAGATTTTAGTAATTAACTAAGTTTTATTTTCGATTTAGCTTGGTAACGTACAGTATAAGTTCTTTAGACATGATTTAGAAAACTTTTATATTGAAATAACATAACAATTGCATTAGACCTATAACGCCCATTTGTCTGTTAACAACCTTTATAGGCTAATACCGCCCAACTGTTTTTTACTGGGCGTTGTTACCCGAAAGGGAATTGTTATTCAATCCACGCATTTTAATACAATAATTACAGAAATAAACTCAAAATATCATAGCATAGTCTAGGAAAGCTAGTAACCTAGTAAATATTACGAGAAATATTACGAAACATGCGGTAAAACAAATAAAAACTTACAATTTGCTGGAGCAATTTTTATATTTACGGTGTTCACAACTGACGTTCGACATGCGAAGCGCGTCACTGCCAAGATGGCAGCGCGAGAGCATTGTCGTCGTACTCGTGCATTCGTATGGGTGTATTTATGTTTGTGTGAGGTGTAATGTCGCCTTTACACGTTGGCCAACACAGTGGCGAATATATTGGCCGAGAGTTGGTGACGGCGTCCACACGTTGGAAGGTCGTTCAGTTTACTTCGGTTCGGGCCAATGTGCGGACGAATTTATAAGCACCGTAGCGCAGTGGCTCAGCAATGAGTGGCTGCGCCGGGCGCCGCGGGTTTGATCCCGCACGGAACAAGTATTTGTATATCCTACAAATAATTGTTTCGGGTCTGGATGTGTGTCCTTGTGCAATTTATGTTTGTAAACTGCCTGCGTGATGCGGGAGAAAATCCTAGTGTGGGGTTAACGTTTTTATAAAAGAATTATAAAATAATAGTGGTTTTAATGGGGCTGTAAAAAGATATACGATATATGATTAGCTTTATTTATTCTTTAAATGCATAATAAACTGGAATAAATACCATTAATAAGAACTTAACTTATTTTAAAGTTAAAGGAGTTATAATCGATTAGTCTATGTTTTAAAATTGGGTTTTGATTTTAAAGTTTAGCAAAATATGTACTTGCATTTCAATCGGACATTTGATGTATATAAAAAACACCTTATAATTTATTTGGTAATTTAATTATTTTTTAAAAAGACAAAAACAATAGCAATAAATATAATTAACACTGACTTAATAATAGGTACTAATTATAAATTAGAACATAAATGAAAAACTCATAACGAGCAAATTGGCTCAGGACCATGCTTTGCGGCAGTCTGTGGAGGAGGATGTTCAGTAGTGGACTTGTGAAGAGCTGCAATGATGATGATGATTCGAAAACTTGCAAGATTAAATTATAAGAAATCGACGTTTTTATAGGATAGTGTGACAAACGAGCACACAGTTCACCTGATGGTAAGTGGTTACTGTGGCCCACAGACCTACATCTATCCTCGATTACGAATCAAAATGCAGATGCGTTGTCACCCGTGAGGACTAAGATGAAATGCCTCGTTTCCTTTAAAAAGGGTCTCTGGTTCTCTACACTCACTATACGAAACACAGCATCATTAAGCTACTATTTTAGGCTGATATTCTGTGAGAGCGTGGTCCTTCCCCGGTCGAGCCGACCTTCGTGCTGCAACTATACTTCTAATATATATGTAATATGTTCTAATATATCTATAATATGTAATAATGCCTGGTTTTACCACGTATAAACGACGTGCTTCATTTTTTTTCATTTTAAAATTGTTCTCGTAATAATCTGATTGTAAAAAAATGTTAATTTTTTTTTGATAAATAGCTTGTTGATTAAAACAAATGTTCAATAATAATTAAATCGCGCTAATTAAAGTAGTAGGAATGTTTAAAGTTGAAATTGGCACTAGAAGGCTGGTAATTGCCATCCACCCTACAAAGCTTGAATATAAAATTTAAATCATATGCGTGTAATCACTCTGGGAGCTTGTAGTAAACTAAACGCGCGGCCAACGTGTGGACGCGGCGACCAAACTTCGCCAACAATCCTTTGATCTTTTGTAAAAAACCGACACCATACGGATCTCGCGCCAACTTGCGGGCCATCGTTCCAATACATACCAATGAAGCCCAAACACCCCGTCTACACGTTGGCCAATGCTATTGGCCACTACATTCGCCACTGTGTTGGCCAACGTGTAGAGGCGCCGTAACACAAACCATAATAAATTAATAACGTTTTTATAAGATTGGGCGTTATTAAACCACGGGCGTTAATTGCCATACCTACCTTAATAGCAGAAGGAGCTTTGTTACACACTAAAAAAGAAAATACGGTCAAATTCATAGATTAATTTTTGGGTTCCTCTAAAAGCAATAACATTAATCAACGTGGTAGAGCCATGCTGCAGTTATATTAGTAGTATAATTGTAGCACGAATGGGTCGGCTCGACCGGGGAAGGACCACGCTCTCACAGAATACCAGCGTAAAATAGTAGCTTAATGCTGCTGTGTTTCGTATGGTGAGTGTAGAGAACCGATACCCCTTTTACTGGAAACGAGGCATTCCATCTTAGTCCTCACGGTTGACAGGTATAGGTATGAAAATATTACCAATAAATACATATATACGTATATTTTATGCACATCACCTACCTATATTATACCGACCGTTTAGTGAAGCTATGAGAATATCCACAACACCGTATCCTCCCGTGAGTGTTGTAAGTGGTGATAAAGGGAAAACGAACCAGGATATAGTCATGAGTGTCTGCCAAGCATGGCAGCTACGGTAAATATCCTTACTACCAGCAATCTATGGTGAGACTTAAGTTCAGCGAGGGACTTCTTTTGATAGGTACTTTTATATTATAAACAGAGAATGCAAAACCTGTTTTTGATTTTCCACATTAATTGAGGTATCATATAATATGTACTTATAGGGTATGTTCCGAAACGTTATCAGTATACTGCCGAATACAAGTGACGTCATCAATTGACACTATATTGTAGTGGCGTGCCGCCGCCATATTGCGTCGGATATTCGGTCATAATAAAACAATTTTTAATTGTGTTTGCGCTAAATGAAGCATGCCAGAATTTGTTTTTATTTATTCAAATACAAACAAAATATAGAATATTTGTTGGTATCTTCGCCAACACTTTTCCAATATGGCGCAAATGTATGACGTCATATACTGTCCTATGTTTTGGAACGAATCACCAGTATAGCGTCGATTCATGACGTCGTTTGCATTGGACAGTACACTGGGTTCTATTTTGGAACATATTCTGTAATATGTATGACAGTGGTATGTATAGTCTGTAATAGTATGTAAATGTACGACTCCACCCTAATTTGTTAAATGATTCAATTAAAACTTACTGCATACTTTCAATTAAAATTATATCGAACACTACTACTGAAAATTTAAAAAACATGAGAGATAATCTGTACAGTGGAACTAAACTTACGCCATTCGAACTCAAACAGGCATCTAATAGTGTCAAACTACTTCGTTTGTCTTTTATAAAAGGAAGCTTATATAAATAGTCTTTATTTCTATAAAAATAACACGAAGGACATGTTACGGGAGGAACTTACGAATCTATCTCAAAAACACCAGAAGCTCGTATAGCAGACAGAGAACGACGACAAGACGTGCGCGGTCTAAAAGTCCTCACGTTTTCCCTTACTGGAGGTGGTTCTTTAATTTCATTCTGGCGCAAAGAATATGCTGATTTTCGCCGCTGTGCAGCAGTCAACCTCGATTCCTCTAGCAGCACTGAAATAAAATGGAATAGAGCAATTCGTTTTTTTTTCATTAAATATAAATTAACAATATTGAATAATTTACAGATTAAAATTATTCAATCAATATAGACTTATAACTAACACCTATTGTTGTTAACTCATTCTTTTATCAGTAGTTCGGTGTAAACGTCTATTCTGGGATAAAACAGCAAAAACTCAGCTTAGCGGAAATTTTGAACATCGGTAATATCACATCGTTTAGAACAAAATTAGTGCCTAACTAATAACGGACACAGTAAAGTTACAGCCGATATACGTCCCACTGCTGGGCACAGGCCTCCCCTCTTTTTTGAAAGGGTTTTAGGGCAAGGAATTGTCCGTCGCGCTGCCCCAATGCGTGTTGACGAACTTCACATGTCATCGAAATATTTTTTCTTATTCCTCAGACACGCAGGTTTCCTCACGATGTTTTCCTTCACCGCAGAGCACGTGGTAAATCAGCACTTAAAATTGCAATTAACAATTTCATTGGTGCCGGCGGGGATCGAAACCGGATTACTCGCGTTCTATATAATTAATAAATATAATTATTAATTATACTAAATAAATATAATTATTTACAGCGAGCATTAACCATCTGAGCTACCACGGCTCTAATGACATAACGGACATATTATTACTTAACTCCCTAGGTAAAACAATTTTAAAAGCTAAACAGACTGCATAAGAATATCTTTGCTCATGTTATCAGGCTGTAAAAAACCACAGCTGGACAAGGGTTTCCCTCTCGTTGTAGGAAGGATGTGCCATAATCGGCACGCTAGGCGGGAGAATTGACAGACACAACTCCGACATCTCGCACCTTTGACGCTGAGCATAGATATTAACTAGTATGTCTCTAGGAAATAGATAAAATAGTTCAGCAGTGGATTTGTGAGGGGCTGTAATTTAGTGGATGATGATGATAGTGTAATATTAGGTAGGATATTAATTTAAATTTAAATACTTATATATGAACTAAACTATAAAATGTATGTGACTAATAAATAATTACATTTTAGAAACTCTTGCTGATTAGTCGAGTATTCTCTCACGCGCGTATGAAAGATGCCGCCATGAGGAATATTTTTACTAGGCCAAGTTATATTTACATATCCGTTTGAATCCGGTTTCTCCATATTATTAAAAGTTATTTCTAGAAATGTTTATATAACATACGTCTCGTGTTTTATATTATTTTGAAATTTCCCCGGCAACGATATTGAAAAAACATAACAGACGTTTCATTTTACGTAAATCTACCCAAAAACCAAAGAGTATGTAATTATATCACTACGTTTAACAAAAACTAGAGACGTTGTTAAGTACTTATCATAATTACTATAAAGTTTCACTAATTGTAATTTATGTAAAGGTTTTCACGTTATGTAAATAAATGTAAAAATTCACTTTTACATAATTATTGAAACTAGGTATATTTCTTTATTTTTTAAGAACGTTACATAGTTAACAGGCATAATAATACGTTATAGTCCTAAAGTAATTACATTACGTATGCATAGAGAGAACCTACAATTCTACATAAATTTAATCTATATACTTGGCTCGCTCTTTCTAATTTAATTTTCGAATAAGGCAAAAAGAGATAAATCTATTGAAAGGTGTTGCGTGTAATTCATGCGTGAATATAGAAATATCAAGTGGTAATTTTTAGTCCCTTTATACTATGGCTAATTTAAGAGCAAGTACACTCGTATCTTCTGATTTACTAGAAAAAAGACACCTTATTTATAGTAGTATTATGTGTGACGTCACCATGGCGGTTAGAGGGAAGTAGAACGATCGCTACATGCTAAAGCAGAGCCCGCCTGTCCCTGAATTGCCGTATTGCTGAATTGCGGTAAGTAGTATCAGCGAAGTTAGCTGTTTATGAGTACAAGTAGATGAAGTTATTTGAATAATGTACAAATTTTCTTCGCGGCAATGGTGAGTAAATAATCGTGCTTTGTAATTTTTTAACTTTTGAGAAAAAGAAAAATTAAAAAATAGTGAAATATTGTATTGTGCGTGGATATGCAAGTGGTTTAGCATCTGATTGGAAAAATAGACTCAAAATGACTTTTATTGAGACAACTTAGCGATCGCTGCGCCTCACTTATTATGTCCATATTTCTGGGACACTATTTTCTACAGCGATCGTTCTCCTTCTCCCTAACCTATATGGACATTACTATACAAGAAATGACGTCTTTAATCTATAGTGCTTCGTTTGCAATGTTAGCAATAATCGACATCGATATACTCGTTTGTGTTTAGTTATTTATTTTTATTACTTTATAATATGCCTAAAAATATAAAGAATATAGCACTACACTTTTTCTTAAACGAACTATAAAGTAAATTGTTTTCTAAATCAAGTGATGATTATTATTATATTACATTGCAAATATTCATTTCGCTATGTTTAAAAACTGCGCTAGCACTTTTTATTAGTTTGTGTTAAAAACTAGTATTTAGGGAGGTACGAATACTAAGTTTTGACCACAAACTAATAAGAAGTTAGTTTAAACAGACTCTCGGTTTATAAGCGAGTTGGATCCCATGTGTAATCCCAATTTTATATGCTGACTAACGATCCGCCGCATTCACGTGACTGTTGTCTAGATCTTGTGTACATCAAAATCGGTTCAGCCGTTCTCAAGTAATGACCCGTTAATACATACGGCAATTGATATTAATTTATATAGATTTACCACCTACATGAAATAAAACAATCGACTCTATTCAACAAAGCTTTATCTGCTTAGATGAATATTTTTAAATCATAAAGTTAGAGCAAGATCTTGATAATGGCGTGTAGCGGCGGCTTAAAGAAACTACTACATCCTACTAATAATATATATTATTAATTAGTAGCTCTAACACCCGTATTTATAAACAAGTATAAGTAATTACTTAGTGACGATTTGTATTCGATAGTTAAGTAATTGCTCCAAGTTAGAACTTTCAAAAGTTAGAATACCTACTCAGCCAAGTAATAGTTACCATTTCCTTTACTTAAGCATTACTTTGAGATTATTTTGGATAAAAAATGGAAACTTTTGTTAGCATTGAAACGGTTTTTGCTGTTGTAGACAATATAGATGACAATATTATATAAGATAGCATTTGTTGAACCTAGAAATCCCAAATTTTACTTTCGTGATGTGGATTCATTTCGTGACTATTCAGAAGATTGCTTTAAAAAGAGATATACCATATATATAAACCACGTTAAAATCACGTGTCGGCATATAATCGATGTATAAAAAGTGAACATTTAAATGTACTAGGTTTTAACATGTCAAGCATTTTGTTTTTCCTAACATTCTTTTTTTTGTACCGACAAAATTAAATATGATGATGAACAATAATGAAATAATAAACTTTTAACGCCATTGTTATTATAAATATAAAATAAAGTAATGTAGACCTTATGTTTGCCTTTTAATGACACAAAACCCAGTCACGAAGTATAGCCACACAGAAACAACCACCAAGCGTAGAAAGTTACTTGTGCATTTGTTCAAGCAGGTAACGTGTGTTACTCGACTATAGAATGAGATTTTGTAATTAAGAATTCTAACCTTAAGTAATGACTCAATTAAGAAATTACTTAGCAACAAGTAATTACTTCTTTATAAATGCGGGTATAAGACCCCACACCACCCGGTGCGTGTCGTAAAAGACAACAATGGAAAATGAAATAGAGGATAGGCGATAGCATCTTTCTGATAACAACTTAAAATAATTAAAAAATCGGTCGCCAAACCACTTGTTATGAGAGGGAACTATGCCAAATATTCCCTCTACGTTCAGCAGTGGACTTTTGATAGGCTATAAAAATGAACGAATGATCGACAATATCTTGACGGCGCTGAGAGGAACACGGGTAATACATTCGTAATCGATTTATTGGCAGCTGTGGTCTAGCGACAAAAAAGAAGGCAGACTATGTTGGTGCCTCTGTTAATGTACTATCGTAGCAGTGTCCTCTGTTTACGTTCCGTGAAGTAAACTCGGTGTCGATTAAATAAACACAATTATTATTCCCTGTGAAACCCATAATAAGTCTAAGGATAATTTTGGCGGAAATATACCGGATGAATAAGTAGATTTTATATTTTATACTAGCTGCATACATTGTTCTGCCCTTTCTAATTGGTGGATTGATAGATGGGTAAACTTACACTGTGCAAAAAATAACGTCACCTCACTCCTAACTAACGACATCTAGTGAGTAGAAAATTATTAGCCGTTACTGAAAGAGCTTTATGGACAATAACTGTTAACACAAAGTAAAACCCTTTTCGCGATTCCCTTCCAGTGGTCGCAGTTTCATACAAAATATTTAAGTAACAGGCGAGATTTTTTGCTGCGATGCGACTCAATAGTTGACGTCTAATTGTATTAAGCGTAATAATTATAATATACCCTTTGATTATTATGATAAGAGAACAAGAAGACACCTATTTGTCTAATAATACGTAGTGATTATATGCTCTTTGGTATAGATACCAAAACTCCGTCAATTAAAATAATTACACTAGAGTGTAATTATTTTTATTGAAGGAGTTTTGGCGGGAACTTGGCCGACGACGGACTGTCGCTCCCGTTTTGTCGCTTGAATAATGGTTTGAAGTGGATTTTAATTGGTAAAAGTGATTTGATTTTGTGAATTAAGTATCTGCGCGTGTGAACTATTAGAGAAAACGACGAAACAAGTGCTTTGATGTTGATATAAACCTCAAGTTAATTTGATCGCTTGGGCGCCTTATGAACTTGAATGCCTGTCGTCATCAACAGTCCGCTGGGTTGAGCTCTCGTCAAAATCTCCCAAAAACTGCAATGTGATGCATTAGCATACTGTGAAGAAAAAATATATAAAATGAAGATTCAGAATGAAATGATAGGCTCAGAAGGGCTAGTACCCAGAGCCGTAAAGCCAGTTAAATAAAAAAAATATTTTAATTGAAATATTCTCTTTTCAGTGTCAACACCACAAACTAATAAGAGTACTAACGTCGTAGTCAACGCTATATTTGAAAGACCAACAAAGACTCTTGTATTGCCATTTTGCATTTTGTCCCTTGAAAAATTAACTTGGCTGCAACTTTACTACCCTCGCAGAAGTTAGGAGGCCTGTGCAGTGGGACATATATAGGCTGTTTACTTTTACGCTTTTAAAAATATTAAAATGTTGAAGTATATTTCTATTTTAAGAAAAATGTGCTTCGATTTTTATATTCGAAAACATACATTATTTTTGGTAGATAGATATTTAGATGAATAACAAATGGTTTTATTTTTTTTTAAACTGATGGTGACGTGGATAACTATTTTTGGTATTTACCTAATTACTATTCGATTACTATCTGGAAGATACATGTCGGTTTTAGAATTTTATATAATAATTTTTTTCAATATAGATTATACCTACATAAATTTATGAAAGCTATTTATACTTTTGTCCACTGGTTCGGATAAATTCTCTATCTAGGGTAGAGCTTGCACAAAAAAGTTGGATATTTTTAAATAATAGTGGTTTTCACATCTTTTTTACCACTTTTTTGAAATCGATTTTAAATTATATTATATATTTGTTATTTCTCTGGGTTTTACTTAATCTTCAAATTTTCGATGTTGTGTGAAGGTATATTTTTTTTATAATGTCGCACATATTTGGTGGTCCATAACACCCATTTACCGTCAGGTGGACTGTGTGCGCTGTTTTTTATATAAGGATATTTATACTGCATCTATTAAATATAAGGATAAGGATATTTATATTACTCATATTGACTACCTCGCTGATCCAGTGGTCGTATAAGCAACTGACTGCCTCGTTGGTCCAGTGGTTGTAGTAGCGCGACTGCTGATCATGAGGTCCTGGATTCGAATCCCGGGTCGGGCCGAAAAAATTAATTATTGAGTTTTTCCATCAAGAAATTCTCAGTAGTTGCTCGGAGTTAGGGAGTTGGCGGTGTCTCACCTCCGTGCCCCGGAAAGCACGTAAAGCCGTTGGTCCTGCGCCTGATCTCTCTGCGGTCGTGTTGGTTAACCGTCCCATTGAATTATGAGAGTGGGGGAATAGAGAGTGCACCTATGCTTGCGCATACACTTGGGCACTATAATCCTG